AGCTGGGATTTGGAATAGGAGCAAATCAGGTGAATAATATCTGAATGAGACGTTTGACCGTGTTAGTGAATGAGCCAAAGAATCCCTGCTGTGTTGATTCAAATCTGCATTGTTAAAATGTTGTTAACAATTTGCTCCTAGTATATAGTTATTTGTCTTTATTATTATTTTTTTATGTCTATTAGGAGAAAAATACGGGCAGCTATGGGTCTAATGCCCTAGTGGCCTAAAGTTACACAGTGCGCCATTAAATGGAAACACTGTAATTAAAGAAAAGTCACACATTTGATCTGCATTTTTACTCTTTTGTTAGGTGTTTTTTCTAATTGTTATACTTTGCCAACCTACAATGGAAAAAAAAAAAAAAAAATTAGCATTACACAAGTCGAGTGATCTGCACCTGGACCTTACTGGCTTTTAAAAATCTGCAGGAAAAGACCAGAAGTAGTTGGAAGATGATGGGGTCCACTAAAGCCATGGCTGAAATATGGATATATCTCACAGGTTTACATTCGCGGCTGCCATGCTGTTTTAAGAGTTATTGCCTGAATAAACGTAATCTTTTAGAATTTTAATTGTATTCTATTATTGATGGGAAAAACACAATTGAGATTAAATATATATATATATATATGTATTTTTTTATATCAAAGAACGCCATAGTTTTGCACACATTTGTGTTGGAAACTCAGTTAATGTCGATATCACAGTGCTGAGATTTAATTCAGCATTGAGTGGGAAGTTGGTCAGATTTGAGGTTAAGGGAAATAGAGATAAATATAAGATAGTCTTGAATGAGAGTAAAAGTTGGGTAATTCTTTTCCCCAATTCAGGATGGCTGCACTTCACGAGGAAGTAAGAAACACAGCTGTTTTGACTTTTTCAACTTTTATTTGCAAGAGTTTCTCCACAATCTGTTGCTATTGGTGCTATTGATGAGCTTTATCACAGTAGATGTTTACATCTCCAATCCCGTGCAGGTAGGAGCTGTTGCTCCCTCACCGGGTTTTTCTGTGCAGATATGTTGCGTTTCTTTGGAAACCAAAAATGACCTAATTTGGACTTTCTGACATTATGGACACATCAAGCATAAACCGAACTTTAGTTTCCACACCCAGCTGCAGTTGGAATGGTTTAGATTAAAGCATCAAGGGTTCATTTTCTATTCAAAGTCTAGACCTAATTATAATTGAAAATCTTTAGCAAAACAGTGAAAAAAAACCGTCTAGATCTGCAAAGCAGGTTGATTCACAGAATCAAAACTGCAGCCAGATCTGCAGCAAAAAATTTAACCTGCACAATAACATTTCATTAAGAAAAAACAGCTGAGTCAAAAATGACATGATGCATCATGAAGTTTGATTGTACGTCTTCAGTCTTTGATAAAATGACATTCTGCTGTGACAACTGTCAGCCAGTCATTTCCCCAGGCCTCTTACCTGTCTTACCTGAATGACCAGTTAGGATCTGGGGTAAAAACAGCGCTCTATTGAAGAGTGACTGACAGATGTCCCTTTCAAAGGTTTTTCTATAAATTAAAGAGAGTTATTGCTTTAATTATCACCAACTACCACTAGAGTAAAGGGAACGTGATGCATTATTCAGTAGCTCAATATTCTCACCACAGATGCTGTCAGGAGACCAGATATTTGCATTGAAAAGTGATGACCTGGTTTTTCCTCTGAACCAGGCTTTTTTGAGGAGATAAAGTAACAACCTTGCTCTCAATTTTAAAAGTGAAAGCTTTGACTGAGTCACCAGGTTGCACAGACATGTAAAAATTATAAAACAATATAGACCTGGAAATGGTCACATAACAGAAACCAGACTGAATTTGTTGACACTGGAAATCTCAACAGTGAACGTGAAAGCCAAGTTCAAAACATCCAGAAGATTTTCTTTATTTTCTTTTGACACTATTTAAGTCACACCATATAGATTATGCATCTTTTATGTAGGATTTTAATGCCACTGTTTTATTATTACAACCTCAAGCTCAGATGTGTATACCCTAATTGAAATTTTATGTGATATCTTACAAGTAATACATATTTGTGAAAAGATATTTGAAGATTTTATGAGTGTCAAACTTTTAAATAAAAAAAAGGTCTATTTTCCACCATGGAGTTAATTTACTAGCATTTATGGTTACAATCGTTAGATGTTTGGGTTTAGGTTTCTCATTTTCTGGGTTTTGATCATATTCTTGTGTATTTTGGCTTGATAGTGTTGCGAAATTCATACAGTTTTCGTTAGCATTAAGGTTTTGACATCTAAATCTGTTCCTTTTGTATATACTATTATTATAAAGTTTTAATTAAAAAGTGTTCTATGCATTGTAATTTATTCTCTTATGTCAGATTTGGGAAATTAGCCCCTCGTTACCAAACATTCATAAATTCTTGATTTTCTCCCGACCTTCTGATTCCTGATCGGGAGGTGGTCGTTTTTAAATTCGGAGCTGATTTACCTGTAACCTTGTGCACGCGCATGCGTAGATAGATGTCTATCGTTCACGTTTCACTTTGAAATTAACGAGTCTGACCAGCACCATCTATTGGCGATGAGTCCGACGTGGTTTTTGGATGTACAGTGTGAGCAGCTGGATAGTATCAGAGCTTCGGTTTGTGCAGTGTCCATAGTGAGCTGTGAACTTTTAAACCCTGCGGTTTCGTCGCATGTTTGAGCTGAAGCTGAGTACAAAGATTTAAAATACTGTAGTGTGTGCCCACTTTAAAGCTGCAGAGTAATCCAGATGTTGCTGGGAAACTGATGGATGATTGAGGAAACATTATTTTCAAAGGTGATACCGAAAAAAATATACTTTTTAAATTTTATTAGATTTAAATATTTCTTAACTTGTTGTCTCTCCCCACTTTTAAAACAAATGCACATGCAAAACCCTGTACCTGCTACCGAGACGGAACGCCTATTAAACACATGCGAGAGCATACACATGCCCATTTCTCCTCGAGAAGGTGCAGGGGCACAATGATGAGAAGGTTGCATTGACGGATCTCATCTCACCAATATTTATTTATAAAAAGTTTCCCTGCAAATAAGACTACTGGTACATAAAAAAAAAAAAAAAATCATGAGACACTTAGCACACACATACATACGTGAGACACGTATGTATGTGTGTGCGTGCATGCGTGTATGTGTATGTGTGTACGTGCAGAAAAAGAAAAAAAAAACTACAAAAAATAAACTCCTCCACTATACCTTTAATCTTCTGATAGGAGGCTCTGGAAGATTTACTAAAAATTAGAAATGCTGTAGATAATTCAATTTAATTCATCACCGTTAGTCTTTGGCCGCAACGCTTTGCTTTTCCACAAAGCGTTGCCGGTGGACAGACAGTCGTCCCTTATCAAAATAGCTAGGTATTGTCACGATCATGTAGATCTGCTGTATTGCCAGTAGATGGAGTACAAATCACTTATTTTTATGCTTATCCTGCCTTGTGTTGATATTCTACTTAGGCTCTGGTTTTATGTCTTTTTCTTTTTGGATAGACACATAATATGTCTATGTTTCTTCAAGCTCCTGCTTGTTCATTGTTCCTTACTGGATTTGCTGGTAACATTGCCAGTAACTGTTTCTGTGCTCTATGTCCTGTTATTTGAGTTCGACACCTGAAGGTTTTCTGTTTTAATATTTAAAACTTTGCGAGTCCTCATAGAAATTTATTGTATTTCAGTCTTTCTAAAAAGCTACAAAATGTGACATTTAGCTAACATTTATTTGAAGTATGTCTTTACCAGCTTAACTCATCTTAGTTTCAATTGCATTTCGATTCAAACGGAATGATGCTAATTAATGAAATGTGTTGATTTTATCTGTGGATGTTTTATGAGTTGCTGTCTTGTTGTTATGTTGTTTTCCTGTTAATATTTAGACCAGAAAGGAATTCTGTTATTAAATTACACACAGTTGACCAAAGAATAAATGCAGAATCAGCTTTGATATCTTGCACAATCAAGGAATTTTACCTTGCTGTAAGTGTACAAACACACACACATTTTAAAACTAATGGGGGAGATGGAGCGGGAGATCCATAGGCGGATTAGTGCAGCGTCTGCTGTAAAGCATGCACTGTACCGGTTTGTTGTGGTGAAGAGAGAGCTGAGCCAAAAAACAAAGCTCTCGATTTACCGGTTCGATCATGAACTTTGGGTCATGACCGAAAGAACGAGATCCTGGATACAAGCGGCTGAAATGAGTTTTCTCTGTAGTGTGTCTGGGCTCTCCCTTAGAGATAGGGTGAGGAGCTCGGTCATCCGGTGAGGACTAAGAGTAGAGCCGCTGCTCCTCCACGTCGAGAGGAGCCAGTTGAGGTGGCTCGGGCTTCTGGTTAGGATGCCCCCTGGACGTCTCCCTGGTGAGGTGTTCCGGGCACGTCCCACCGGGAGGAGGCCCAGGGAGAGACCCAGGAAACGCTGGAGGGACTATGTTTCTCGGCTGGCCTGGGAGCGCCTTGGGATTCCCCCAGAGGAGCTGGCCAAAGTGGTTGAGGCGAAGGACGTCTGGGCCTCCCTACTGAAGCTGCAAGCCCCATGACCTGACCCCGGATAACAGGAAGAAGATGGATGGATAGGTCTGAATAGCTGTTAGAGCTATAGGTTTTCTCCATAATTTCAAAACCTGCTCTAATACCTAATCTGTTAGTGACAGAATGTCACACACAATCTCAAGAGGATGTGCTAAGGTTTGTTATTTTAAAATAGATTACTCTTCTCTTTCAGTTATTCCATACCAAAACCCGTTTAAATTGGTTATTCAGCACCTTCTTGTCCTGATTTTCTATAAGTTTATATACATTGGATTTGCATTAATTTTCTGCCTGTTAGGGTTGGCTAACCCTTTACTTTTTTGTTATTATTTTCCATTATTTATTTCTTCTAGATTCCTTTATTTTCTAGTAATAAACAAATCAGTGCAGAGAAAGCATAAAGAAGTCACCAAAGTCACCAAAATCAGCAGAGTAGTGCACTCACGTGTGCCATCGAACCGAGTGGCGATGGTATCCAAAAAGGTGTTCTGAGGCGCAATCAGACCCCGCATCACCGGCATCCGGGAGCGCGTGGAGCCGCGTCTCTCCCTGCGCTCCGAGCCATGGCTCTCCGCGGCGGTGGTTACGAAGCCAGGCAGAAACCTGGAGGAGTTCCCCGGCGCTCCTCCTAAGCCCTGGAGGAGGGCGCCGAGCCGAGACAGCCGGGACTCCACGGTCAGAGCTTGGCCGCCGAGCACCGCGACGGTGATCCCGGCTGACAGAGGCGGAGAGATGGAGCTGCTGGAGGCTGAGGATGGAAAGGTTGGAGGGATAGAGGGACCGCGGTGATGATGGTCACATTTACGCACGGATGTGCTGCAATGGCACCCCTCTCTCCTCCTCCTTCACCTTTCCCTTCCTCTCCTCCTTTGCTGCTCAATCACTTAATTCACTACAGACATTCGCCCACCTCAATAAGCTGACTGAAAAAGCCCTTCCTTTCCCCTCCTGTCAGAGCCCCCTCCCCTATTCCTGCATCTTTAAAGGTCCTCACCTCTCATTCTTTGATGTCATGCAGAATTGTTCTTTAGACCAGGCTGGTGGAAGTGTCATAGTTTCCCTTTTGGTAGGGAAATTACTGGAAGACTATAATAACAATGATGATAAAATACTATCATCTCTGCCTGTCGCGTTTCACACTTGAAGCTGCTAAATCTGTCACATTCTAGAACAAAACGACAAAGTAAGGATTTGCATATTAAAGCAATAATCACAAATACAAGATGAAATGGATAAAGGATTCTTTGCAATGATGTATGACTGAAATTATGTTGAGTTACTGAAAAATGTCAGCATCATATATATTTTGGAACTCCAGAAATTCAGTCATGTTTTAAATAATAGCTGCTCTGCTATTATTAAGAGGTTTTATAGTTACCCAACCAACATGCTGACTGGTCTAAAAGAGATTAATCAAATTATTTTATGGTCTTTAAAGATCCTTAGGCTCCAGAGAAATCCAGACTCCAACCCACAGTTCACAGGGTAGAATAGTGGCTCAGGTGTGATGATATGGTGTCTGTCCGGTTTTAGTGAAAATGAACAATCCCTGAAACTTGGGCTCATAATGTCTGATGGTGAAAATAACACCCCTAAAAACTTAAATCAGGGGTCTGAAACCTTCACAACCCAAAGGACCGTTCTCCCCTCAGTTAAACTAAATAAAATGTAATTGGGGCCGCAATGTTGTGAGTTTTTGTGAAAGAGATTTTTGATAAATATCTACACAAGACATTTTGCATTTATTTTGAAAGAACAATCTGTATTTCAATCTGAAAAACCCACATGAAGAGAAAAGACAATTAAAGAAATGTATTGATGCAATAACTTTTCTTTTGCGCTCAGACCTCGGCGGGAAACATGGTGCTTATTTTTGATAGATATGCATGAACAGCAGCAAAGAATAGAGCTGTAGATTGTAGACTGCTGGTTAGCGAGACGGTATGCTGAGCTTTATGGGGAGATCCAGCTGATACTAGAGCTTCACTCAGGGACCTGGAAGATGGAAGTCCAGCTTGCATAACACAGGTTTGAGAGAACCTGTCCATGATGAGCAAGCATGAAGCGACAGTGGAGAGGAAAAACTCCCCGTTGGAAAGAAACCTCTGGCAGAACCAGGCTCAACATGGCGGTCTTCTGGTTGGGATGAGACGGAACGCAGTAAGAATCCGGGAGGAATGACACTGATGAAGCTTTAGCTACAATGGTGGAGGAGGGGCTGGAGATGGGTTGAAATGGTGTCATCTGAATGAAGTCATACAGCGCATCCGCCACCTGCGCACAGGAGCAGACAGGTGCGGATCGAAAGCCTTTCAAGATGAGCTTTGGATGCCGATTGGCTTTCGTGGAGGTGTGGTGCAAAGCTGATTGGCTGTTTCGCAGATGGATGTAGGAGAGCAATGAGTTTCTTTAGTTTAACTTCCGTCTAGGCTCCATATATATCTATTTAATTTTTTTTAAAAACAGAATCTGTTTTTGCTAATTACAAGATGGATAAATTGTTTTCTATGGGATTTGAACACTTGTGGAAAATGTTTAGCAAAGGTTATATTCTCCAGCCTAATGTTATCTGATATGTTAGTTGATTGTTCTGGCTCGATTTCCTTAATTTTGGGAGATTGTTGATCGGCTCTTAGATGTGAAACCGATCTTATCTACCTCTTCCGTGGCCACTATCAATGTTCTAAAACTTAATTTTTTAAATTTTTCTTTTGCAATTACATTATGTGTTTCGTGGGTGTTTTTCTTTTCATTCTTCAATAAAAAAAGATTAAAAATGTCAGCGAGTCAGACTTTTTAAAGATTGGTGTCTGGCCAAAAGACTGGAATCGGTGCACCCCCACTTAAATACATTACTGGTATCTGTAGGATCATTATCGTGCACAAATTCAAAGGAGTTATTTCAGGTTAAGTGGGGTAAAAATGCTTAAAACTTTCAGTAGTATTTAAAGCATGAACTGGTTCTGAAGTTAAGCCACTGCAAAAAGTCCAAAGAGCCACAGGTTTCTGACCCCTGGCTTGAGTGAACAGCATCTTGATAGCAAATGGATAAATTATACTGTATGGATGGGCAAGACTAATTCCTAGACTTTAATCTAATAGAAAACCATTGAGGTCTTAAAAGAGTGTAATAGAGATAGATGGACTGGTGGATGGTTGGGACTAATAGTAGTAGTGCTCTAATATTATTTTTGTCATATTTATGAAGCATAAATGCATTTATGGAATTTCATCTTAACAGGTATAAAATTATTGTGTAGTTTTTTTGTATATGCATTCATCACATTTATCAACAAATCCAGCAGAATTTATTCAGTAAATAGCCAGCAGTATACTCTCCAACACGTTACTGAATTAAATTCCATTCATTTTTTTTCTATACCAATTCAAAACACGCCATTTTGAGGCACATTATAGAGACAATTCAATCACATCCTATAGACATTGGTTATAAATTTTCTATCTACGGCAGGGCTCTTAAACTTAAATCCTCACTGATCTCCTGTTATTGTTAGATTTGTACCTAAACTGCTTCACTGGCATCACTCAAGCTCTGCAGAGCTCTTAGAGTCATGTGTGTTAAGGCAGAGGAGCATCACTGGTGCAAGACACCAGCCTCCAGGACTGGAGTTTGAGTCCACTGATCTTGATTGCCTCAAGTCGTATTTGCATCAGGCATGCATGTAATGACAGTGAAGCAGTAAAACTCCATTTCCACAGGAAGAAACCTCCAGCAGAAGTAGCCTTAGTGTGAGCTTAATGTCAAGGTCAACTAGGGGTTCAAGGAGACAGAAATTGAAATATAAAAGCAAAATGAAAGCACTGATCCATAAATACTCTATCTTAGAGAAGGTAACAGTAAACTTAGCTCCATAGATAGCTCTGTCTAGGGAAAAAATGGTTAAGGAGATGAGCTATGAGCCAGTTTTTGAAAGAGAGCATAGCTGGTCACAGTCAAAGCTGAGCCTAAAGCGATGTCAAGAGAGAAAGGGCACTAAACAAGGAAAACGGGCCAAACACTATAATTTATAATGGAAGTTGTTGATGGCACCAGCGCAGCTGATACCTCCCTTCAGGATGATGTCACAGTTTAACAGAGCACAAGGCCTGATTAAGCTACTGTGTTGAAAAAAAAACAAAAAGCATAAATTTAGGTGCTGAACTAAGAAATAATGCAAAATAGAGATAGAACGAATTTATGAGGGCCTATGTCCTTGACAAGGGAAACCTGGGTTCAAATCCAGCGTGTGGTCCTTTCCCGCATGTCTCTCCCCCCTCTCTCATACCCCCTTTCCTGTCAGCCTACTGCCCATAAAATAAAATAAAACAAGACACTAGTGCTGTAAAAAAAAGTGATATTTACTAAATCTATTCACACTTCCACAAATAAGCTTCAAATGAGTTAATCTTGTATTTCAGAAAAGCAATCTCAAAAAGAATATTTTAGTTCAAACATTCACCCAAGTGTCCTCTTCTATGACATTTGAGAAGGTTGAACTTTTGTTGTTTTGTTAGTCACTACATCTTGCTCAAAAACACAATAATGAGCAATGTACAGTTTTTTGGTAGTCACTTGTATATACACTATATTGCCAAAAGTATTTGCTCACCTGCCTTGACTCACATATGAGCTTAAGTGACATCCCGTTCCTAATCCATAGGGTTCAATATGACGTCGGTCCACCCTTTGTAGCTAGAACAGCTTCAACTCTTCTGGGAAGGCTGTCCACAAGGTTTAGGAGTGTGTTTATGGGAATTTTTGACCATTCTTCCAGAAGCGCATTTGTGAGGTCGCACACTGATGTTGGACGAGAAGGCCTGGCTCTCAGTCTCCGCTCTAATTCATCCCAAAGGTGTTCTATCGGGTTGAGGTCAGGACTCTGTGCAGGCCAGTCAAGTTCATCCACACCAGACTCTGTCATCCATGTCTTTATGGACCTTGCTTTGTGCACTGGTGCACAGTCATGTTGGAAGAGGAAGGGGCCAGCTCCAAACTGTTCCCACAAAGTTGGGAGCATGGAATTGTCCAAAATGTCTTGGTATGCTGAAGCATTCAGAGTTCCTTTCACTGGAACTAAGGGGCCAAGCCCAGCTCCTGAAAAACAACCTCACACCATAATCCCCCCTCCACCAAACTTTACACTTGGCACAATGCAGTCAGACAAGTACCGTTCTCCTGGCAACCGCCAAACCCAGACCCGTCCATCAGATTGCCAGATGGAGAAGCGCGATTCGTCACTCCAGAGAACGCGTCTCCACTGCTCTAGAGTCCAGTGGCGGCGTGCTTTACACCACCGCATCCGACGCTTTGCATTGCACTTGGTGATGTATGGCTTGGATGCAGCTGCTCGACCATGGAAACCCATTCCATGAAGCTCTCTGCGCACTGTTCTTGAGCTAATCTGAAGGCCACATGAAGTTTGGAGGTCTGTAGTGATTGACTCTGCAGAAAGTTGGCGACCTCTTCGCACTATGCGCGTCAGCATCCGCTGACCCCGCTCCGTCAGTTTACGTGGCCTAC